TATCATATGGTATTTTTCTTTCTCTTTCTGGCTTACTTCACTTAGAATGACGATCTCCAGGTCCATCCATGTTGCTACAAATGCCATTATTTCATTCTTTTTTATGACTGAGTAATGTTCCATTATATAAATAAACCACAGCTTCTTTATCCAGTCCTCTGTCGATGGACACTTAGGTTGCTTCCACGTCTCGGCTATTGTAAATAGTGCTTCTGTGAACATTGGGATGCATGTATCTTTTCAAATGAGAGTTCCCTTCGGATGTATGCCCAGGAGTGGGATTGCGGATCGTAGGGTACATCTATTTTTAGTTTTTTGAGGAATCTTCAGACTGCTTTCCATAGTGGCCACACATTGTTTGTACTTTCACCCTGTGTTACTTCTTGGAGGTAATTATTGCCGTGTGGCCATTTCCCTGGAGAAAGAAGGACTTTCTTTGCTTTGTCCCAAACTAAACTCTTTAGAATTTCAAGGTGTGCGTGTGTCTGTTTTGGGTTGGGAGCCTCTTTCTGGCCTCATGGGATGGATGAGCAGGTCCTCCTATTCATGAGCCTGTGGAATTCAGTGCTAAGCCCCTAAGCCTTGCCTGTGCTCACTGAAGGACCCTAACCATTGGGCAGCTCTCAGAGCAGCCATTTTCTTTGCAATTTTCTGATTGGCCCCTTCCCATCTCATCTGGGTGATGCAGCTTAGTCTAAGGATTGACTCGGTTCTCCAAAGCTTAATGAAAGTAAAAAATGACTTGGTCCATGCGAGTGTTATTATGAAATACTCATACCAACAGGGATCCTATCGCCACCATCAGGCAATTCCAAGGCAAATGCCAAGGCAGAAAAATTCTGCCACCTCTTTTCACATCCAGGGACACTGACACCCAACTTGGGGTGGAGGGAGGAAAGAGGGGCAGCGTGGTGCCCACTCTAAGCTGGCTCCCAGGGCTTGCCAGGCATGGCAGGCGGAACCACGGCTGACTTTAATAGGGACGCTGATCCACTCTGGCCCCAGGAGAGTCAGACAGCTCAGAGTTACAGCTAGGAGGCAGAAAGTGGGCCGAGGCCAGCAGGACAAGACCCCTTCTGGGGTGCGGGCCCCAGGGGCTGTAGGAGGCAGGGCTGGGCCAGGCAAGGCCCCTGGGTCCTGAGACAGAGAAAAGATCTTAGCTCCCTCTCCCTAGGCAACCTGCTTGCTTCCTGCCCACCCCCAGGAGCTTTGCCAGGATAGAAGCGTGCCTCTGAGATGGCCCTGGATGCTCAACAAAACCAGCTTTGCAAACAAGTCCAAGCAGTGTGACTTTCCCTCCTCTTGTAGGCCACAAATGGGTGTATCAGCACGGCCAGCCCATGGCTTATGCAGAGATCCCTACGCCCTCAGCCCACGGGCCAAGGTGAGAGGATCTGTGCCTGGGGTCTACCTAGCATGCTGATCCCACCAGCAGTGGCAGGCATAAGGGCTTGGGAGACCCCACAGGCCTGCATCTCTGGAAAAAGAACAAATCCCTGGTTCCAGATTCAAAGCTGAGGGCTCCCTCCACTTCCCCCCTTTCCCATCCTCTTTTCCATGAACCCCTTACTAAACCTTTTTTTTTCTCCTTCCTCTGAGTGGGACTGAGCACCCTCTCCTTAATTGCCTTCTCATTAAACAAGCCCTTAATAAATACATACCAAGGGAAAGAGGGTTGGGCAACAGAGCATCCTCACAAGTGATAATTACACACAGATCACAGCAATTGAGCAAATCAGGGAACAAGGAAGGGGTGGGCAAGAAGGATATATTACCAGTTCTACGTTTAGGAGGGGGCTGGCGCCTGTGTAAACCTCAGCTGCAATACTACAGCCTTGGAAACGGCATCTCAACTTAAGAAAAGGGTGTCTGGTCTGGTTATCAAAAATCACTTTAGTCTCAGTGCAAGAGACAAAGTTTGATGTGGGGAGAGGGAGTGGGAGGGGTAGAGGACTCCTGGGAGCTTACTGCTCTGGACCCAGTTTCCATAGTGGAGAGAACAGCAGCTCTGGGCCCCCAAGCCTCTATCCTCCCATGTCCTGCCCCAGCGCCACACTTCTTCTCCAGCCCCTCAGCCCAGTCCCTGCTGGCCTTCTCCTTCACCAGACTTTGGTAAACTGGGAGGCAAGTTGGTGTGGCAGAGCCCAAGAGACCTGAATTCTGGCCCACTTGGCCATCGATTGACCATGCACCTTCCCTCGCTGGACCTGGTTTCCTCATCCTTAGGGGAGCTCTGTGCTATGGTTTCCAAAGTTCTTGCCAGCTCCAGTGCTGCCAGGAAGCCTCTTCCAGTTGGCTGTCCAGTTGTCCCTGTATCTCCCCTGAGGGACTGAGAGCAAGGATGGCATCTGTGTCCCAAGATCAAAGCAATGCCACTGTCAGGGCTTAGCAGTGGCTGCATGGGCAAGGTCTGGGGCTGGGGGTTTGGAGGGACCCTGGTTGTACTCCCTCTGCAGACCAAAGGGGCCGGACGCAGAGCAGCTGGTGCCAGTTCTGGGACCCGCTAGTCTCCCACCTACAGATCACTCTGCTGTCTCCTGGGCTCCCAGAGGGTAGCTCAGGGATTCTTTCAAACCCCTGCTCCTCCCTCGTCAACCAGCTAAACAGTCCTTAAAGGAGGTGGGGGCTTCCACCCAAGAAAAGTACCAAGAATCTGTTCACAATCCCCATATGCATGTGCGCGCACGCACACACACACCCGGTGTATGGGGTGGTTTCCTACAGAAGACAGCCCAGGCACTGGCATCCCACCAGCCAACCAGGCAGAGGAGGAAAGGAAGCCAGAGGCATTGACAGTGGCTAGTTTAATGACTGTGTGAGTTTGAATTCCCCAGTGAGCTCTTCCCCCTGCTAAGGTCACAGTGGGAACCGGTGCTGATCAGGGATGGGATGGGGGGGGGGGAGATGGTGGGGAGCAGCACTGTGCCCGCCCCATGAAGAGGAGCCTCAGGCCTCACAGAGGCCCACTGCCGAGGGTCACTGTGAAACCAGCACATCTGTGCCTAAGGTGCAAAAGAGCACATCAGCATCTTCTACCCAGCTGTAGGGATGTCACAGAATCAGTGGTCCTGAGTGAAAGGCATACTGTCTCCCTCCTCCGCCACCAGGTGTCAACATGACAGGTCTGCACAGTTTACTTTTGTAGAAATAGCAGTGACCGCCCTTAAAGTCTTCTGTCTCCCTGTTTTCAGCCCAAATGCCCACCTCATGTGCTCAACCCAATGGGGGAAGCTGCCAACAGCCAAATCTGACAAATAGAAACAGGAAGAGATTTGGGTGCCAGAGATGGAGTCGGCTTACATTGAAATCCAGCAACGATTTATGAGGAGATTATGTGCTGGACTAATAAAAGTCATTCCCTTATCTCTTGGAGTTTGACACTCAAAACGATCGTGTGCGTATTAATAGGTATTAATAATCTGTTCCTTCTGTGTCCTTTGGATGTGTCTCCTCAGTTTTCATACTCATCCCCCAAATGAAGAGCCACAAGCAGGTTAAACAGATACGCACGCGCGCGCGCACACACACACACACACACACACACACACACTGCACAGAATCTCTCTATAACAAGGAAGACAAGATCTTTCCCCAAAGGGGGCTTGAAACGAGCTTCCAAGTCCTTCCAACCTCACCTAGTCTGCAGGGCAGGCAATGGACGCTGGAGGAAGTAGACTGCAGAGGCACCAAACAGAAAAATGTCCAGGAGGAAGGGGAGCTCCCCCGCCTCCAGCTGGTGCATGGCTAGTGCCTGGGCAACAAGCAGCCAAGTTACAAACAGCTCTGGGCAGAGGTAGAAACCACCATCCCAACAATCACACGTGCAACCCACCTGGCATCCCCTACACCCGAGGCACAGACACCCTCCCCCAGCAATCTCCAACCTCTGAACTTGGGATACCTGCGATATCCAGCTCCAGAAGCCCAGGGCTGAGGCCTTAGAGACAGCAAAGAACTAATCGCGAGACTGGCTGGCCGATAGGGCGGGTGGGGGGACAAGCAAGGTCCCCAGGGAGCACAGCCTTCCCAGCCCGCGTCCGGCAAGAAGCCGGTGGCCGCGATGCTCATTTCGTGCCGCACTCCAAAACCCACCTCGTCCAAGGCACTACTCTTCTAAGTGTTCCCTCCTCTGGGGAAAGATGGGGGAAGGGTGGGGGGAAGAGGCAGGAGAAGAAACCAAGCTGGGGCTGCCTTACCCAAAAGCCCAGTGCCCAGCCATCTCGCCCGGGCTGCGCCTCGGTCCCCGGCCCTGGGCATCGTTCTGTTCTCTCCCGAGCGCTCCAGGGACGCTGGGATGGGATACCGGGCACAGCCGCGCTCGCAGCCGCGGTCTGCAGTGGTATCCGAGGCTGCCGGGGAGCTCTGCGCCGCCGGCCGGAGCTCGGGAAAGTTAGCGGGGAGAGAGCGAGAGCAGGGGGAGGGAGGGGGAGGAGGAGCCGACTGCGGGAGCGGCCGCTGAGGGCGCGGGGAGGAGGAGGAGCGCGGGGAGGAGCAGGAGCAGGAGGATCGCCGAGGGATGCTGCGCCTCTGCTCTGGAAGCGCTCCAACCTCAGGAGGGGCGGTGGCCGCCGCGGAGCTTGGGGCGCCCCGCCTCGTGGTCCCCGAGCCCCGGGAGCCGGCCGGGCTCCCCTCCTTCCTCTCCAGCTCGGGCTGGCGGCTGCGACTTGGCACTGCAGGGCTGCCCGCAGCCGCCCGCATCATCCCATGTGCTGAGCTGCCAATTAGGAGGATAGTTTGGGGAGGAGTCGAGGTGGGATTTTTCGGGGTGTTGGAAGGCTGTGTTCTGCTTTGGGCAGCTGGGGAACACGGAAAGGGGTGGGTAGCGGCTCCCTCTCCCGGGGCCGCGAAGGGACGGCTCGGACGCCCGCAGCGGGCACTGCCGCAGCCGGTGGGCGTGTGCGGGCTTGCCCACTGCAGCCGCCAACCCGCTCGTGCGTGCGCCCGCCGCCTTCGCCCCGCCGTGCAGGGCCCCGGGGACCCGACGTCCAACTGCAAACTGCTCCCGCCACCGCCCACCAACGTCCCCCACTGCTTCATAGACTCCTCGGAAATTACCATGATCCTGGTTAGGGAATCAGGCCGAACACCACGGATCCGATCCGTCCCCGCTTCACCCGCCCGCCGCGCTCCTACTCATTTTTCCCACCTAAGCGGTCCCCCTCAGATCCTACCCTTCATCCTCCTCTAAGGATTTCCAGTGTCCGTCAGAATCTTGGAAGACGTCCTTGGCCTCGCTTCCCTTTTGGGGTGGGGTTGGAGGAGCCCAGAGCAGGCCTCGGAGCTGGTGGAAGGGGGTCACCACCCGGGGAGACTGCCAACAAGCGAGACTTTTCCCAGCCAGCCTTGAGTTACAAGTGAGCAGTGCAATTTGGGGTGGTTTGGTAATGTCTGATCCCTCCTCAGCACCCCCTTCCCAACCGCCTCAGCTCCTCCCTCCACCACAGGTCCTGTCTGCATCCCTGACCCTTCATCCTTTGCCTGTCTGAGGACTGGTCCAGACTTGGAAACCTGCTCCCACTTCATGGCCTGATCCCGGCTACAGCCCCACCACCACTTACCTTCTTAACCCGGGGTCCCTGGTGGGCTTCAGAGAGATCACGGGCCCCCTGAGGCTGTATGGGAAATGCTGGATATCTTTGTTTGCGGGGGGTAGGGGTTCCCGGGAGAGAGGCTCACTCAGGGTCACTGCGACAGTGGTATAGTGGCCCTGGGGAATCCAGCCCCAGCTCCAGAACTTACTGCTGTATGACCTTGAGCAAGTTATGCAACCTCCTGCAGAAGCCTCCTCTGTAATCTGGTGAAAGTGATGATATTTACCTCATGCAACTGTTAAGAACAATCCTACCCTTAGACCTGGCAACAAGGGCCTCAGTCCTGGGCTCCTGAGTTTGGGCCACCTCAGGTGGCCCTCCTCTGGCCATACCCCTCCTCACTGGAAAAGTAGGTCCTGGGACAGGAGGGATGGTGGTCCATACTCCTCCTCTTCTAGACCAAGCTCCTGACATCTGGGACCCTAGAATTCCCTGTTCAAATGACCCAATTCTAAGCAGGCCTCTTCCCCTAGTCCATCGTCTTAAGAGCTGCCCAGGCCAGATGTGCACCGGCACACCTGGGGAGTGGGCCAAGGGCAGCTGATTGCAGAGGGTGGGAAGCAGATGGAACTTAACATGCAGGTAGAGTGTTCCTGGGCATGCGTGAGAGCCCCCGTCCCCACAAGGCCAGAGAAGAGTGGGCCTTAAAATTAAGACCCAGGAAAATTAATCCAAAGAGGAAGATAATAGGTCAGTTTCAACATTTTGTTATCTTGATTCGCAGCTTATATTTAGACATATGTCATTTCCTTTTGTGCGCTTGCCCCAGGCCTCACAAGCATCAGAAGTGGACCAGACTCTGAAGTCTGGTTACTAGTGCACATAGAAATGTTTGGCAGAGGGCTGGGCATAGTGTCAGCACGCAGTACATTTTAGCTCTTATTAGTCTCAAAGAGGTCTGTGGCCCCCAAAAGGCCAAGTCTCTTCCTGTCTTCAAGTTTGCACATTCACCCTCTCTTTCCCCAGACGATCCCAGACGCTAGATCAACGCAGCCAGGCATCCAGGCGGTCCACTTTATTTTTACAGCAGGGGTCATGTTTCTCAGAGCAGGAGGCTGAGGTGAGACAGGAGATGAGCCAAAGGGAAGGAAAGTGACCCCTGCCCAGAGAAGGGGGAGGAGAGGGGACAGAGCTCCCTGGATATCTTTAGATCCTGGTGACACAAAGAGGTGCCAGTTTTCTGCCTGATCTCCACCTTCCCCGCTGCCCTGCTGCTCACCAATTCTTAGAGCCGGAAGGGTCCTTAGGAAACCCACACACCTACCAGATGAAGAAACAGGTGCGGAAAGGTAGACTGTGTGATCCAAGGTCACGGAGAAAGTGATTCTTAAAGCCCATATTAGAATCTCCCCCATTATTTGATTCCCTCCCCCGCACCCCCAGCCTTCCTCCAAAGAACGTCAGGAGGGCTCCACAGCTGGGCAGGAAAAGTGCTTGAGAGATGCATTAGTGGCTTTAGGAATTTTGCTTTTAGAGAGCACTTTCTTCAAAAATTCTCAAAACCCAAGTGCATCGATTGAGCCTGGAGGAGCCTCCTGGGGGGTGCCAGGGGGGAGAGCAACCAAAGGTCAGAGTTCTCTGTCCTGCCTTTAGAAAAATAGTTCTCTGAGGAGCCCTCCCTGATTTAACCCCACTTCACCAAACTCAAGAGCCCCGGGCTCTGGGAGGGGAGGTGAAAAAATGGGAGTCTCTTTCTCCTCCTCCTGTTGGAAACCCCTGGAGGGCAGGATGGTGAGGACTCAGCCCCCAGCTGCACCCAACAGGCCAGATCCTTGGTGGTGGGGTAACACACACTCAGGCGTGGGGCGGCCTGGCTCAAAAAGATCTTGAAGAGTAAGTTTTCAGGGATGCAGAGAGGGATTGGCCCCATACCAACGAGCTGCCGGGAGCTCTTCTTAGGTGGGAGGACACAGGGCCTAGATTTAACAGGAAGGAGATTCTCCCCTGGGCAGGGGGTCTCATGTGGTTCCCCACATAAGACCAGGTGAGCGTCTCCATCCCTGCCCTCCGCCTCTACCCCGGCCCTCCTGGGAGCAGGATGGCGCACGCAAGGAGAGCAGGTGTGAGGGTCAGTGTGGGGTGGGGGAAGTGGCACAGCAGTAATGGGGACAGAGCTGCAGCTCTGATGCTCTTACGTGAGAAGGCGCTCACCCCTGGGGGCAGCCCCTCCTTCTCCCGGGGCGAGTGGGTGGAAGATTCCATCCCCTGTCAGGTCTCAGCTAGCCAAGACCCCGGCAGGGCAGGAAGGGAAAGGGACAGCTCCGGTGAGGTCTCCAGAGCTATTTTGAGAGGAGTTCCTCCTAAGTAACAAGAGCCTGGCAGGGAGCCTCCTCCCCCTCTGGTTCCCCTGTTGCCCTTGCCCGCAGCCTCCCTCCCCCCCCCCTCCTCCCCCATAAGCCCTCACGGCTCCTGTCGGAGACTGCAGGCAACGGGGCATTGCAGGTAACGGGGCTCGAGGGCAGCTTCGCTGACGGGGCTCTTAGAGGCAGAGAACAGGGGGCTTCTCTGCCTCCAGCCTCCAATCAATCCATCAATTGGATTAACACCAGTTTATAGCCTGGTTATAAACAGGGCCCCAACCTCAGGACGCTGGAACCGTAGGAGCCGAAACTCCTTGCATCCATTCACTTAAAGTTAAATGCCCCCCAAATCCTCCTGCCTCTCGGGTTGGGATTGGGTGGACAGACATTTGGGAGCCTCCTTCCAGTGCACCTAGATCTGTTCCCTGCCCATCCCTACTCACCATTCCTGCCCCCCTGCCCAGCGCGCACATGACCCCAGCCACAGTCTCAGCATAGCATCCACTGTAGTTTGGCAGGTGCCGAGGGGGTTAACAGGACAGCATGCACCAAGCCAAGCCGCAGGCACGTGGCACAGCAGTCCAGCGAGGAACCGGTACTGGCCACCTTGCCTGCTGCTCCCCAGCCCACCTCGCTTCAGAGTTGGAGTAGAGATAAACTCTTCCTGAACCCTCCTCACCCATCTGCACTTTCTAAGGGCTCTGGGTGCAGGCAGGTAGGCAGCCACCTCCTCCATCCCTCCCTTCCTCTATTTCTGTTTTCTGCCAGGTTCTTTCCAAACATCATTTCAGGCAAAGGGGGGTGGGGAGCCCCAGACAGATGAGCTCATTGGGAGGAAGAGGGCAGAGGGAGGAGGGAGCTGAAATTCCCTGACCAGGGAGATGCTCACCGGACAGTCCCACGCTGGAGAGGGGTGTGCACCCCCTTCCAGGAGCAGGCGCCTGCTTTCCTCACTGCAGCTCAGAGATGGGGTGAGTCCTGGGCATCGCTTTATTCTGGGCCACATTGGGGTGGGGCATGAAGCCCCAGGCAGGGGCTCAGCCACTCTACCAGCGCCCCAGAGATGTGTCTACCTCCCTGCTTCATGGGTTACCATGCCCCACTGCCCTCCCAGCAAGGGAGGATGGGGGCTCAGGAGGGTTGGGGGGCCGGAGGTGTAGGGAAGGTTTGTCACTCATTGCAGCCTGGCTTCCCAGGGGACTGCCTTGTTGGCTGAATGGCCAGATGTCCTCTTGGAACCCTAGACCTGGTCCTGCCTGTGAACTGGGCACTGGGACAGACTGTCCAACCCAAAGCGTAAAGTGGTGTGGGGTGCCAGGCAGGGCTCCCTGAATGTTCTGGTCCCATCAGCTATGCGGGAGCAGTGGATCTTGCAAAGTGAGGGGAGAGGGAGGACGTGGAATGGCAGAGAAGATATAGGGGTGGGGCAGAGGTGGGGGACAGATGGCCGAGTGGAAAGGAGGAAACGTGGGACCTGGAGTGAAGGGTAACTTGGGGAGGTTGGAGTGAGACACAGGCCC